TTTTTTTTTTTTTTTTTTTTAAGACGGGGTTTCACCATGTTGGTCAGGCTAGTCTTGAACTCCTGACCTCAGGTGATCCGCCCGCCTTGGCCACCAAAGTGCTTGGATTACAGGCATAAGCCACCATGCCCGGCCCAAGAATCTTTTTTTTTTTTTTTTGAGAGGGAGTCTATCTTGGCTCACTGCAACCTCTGCCTCCTGGGCTCAAGTTATCTCCTGCCTCAGCCTCCCAAGTAGCTGGGATTACAAGCGTGTGCCACCGTGCCACACTCATTTTTGTATTTTTAGTAGAGATGGGATTTTGCCATGTTGGCCAGTATGGTCTTGAACCCCTGACCTCAAGTGATCCGCCGGCCTCGGCCTCCGAAGGTGCTGGGATTACAGGCATGAGCCACTTTGCCTGGCCCAGAGAATGCCCAGCCCAGAATCTTCACTGTCAGATTTTGTCAGTATTCTACCGGTTCTCTGAGGATTTAGGTGTAGTTCCCAGTTTCAGCTTCTCTGCATCTCTCAGGTCTAAGGTTACATCTCTGAACAGCCCTTAAAACCCAGCTGCAGATAGGCATGGTGGCTCACTCCATGGGAGGCCAAGGAGGGTGAATTGCTTAAGTCTGGAAGATCAAGACCAGCCTAGGCAACATAGTGAGATCTCTGCAATAAATACATAATCTCTAAACAAATAATTAGCCAGGCATGGTGGTGCATGATTGGAGTCCCAGCTACTCAGGAGGCTGAGGCAGGAGGATCTCTTGAACTCATGAGTTCAGTGCTGTAGTGAGCTATGATCTTGCCAGTGCACTTACACAGCAAGACTCTGTCTCTAAAAAATAAAAAATATGTAAAAATTTAAAATGATAATTTAAAAAACCAGCTTCCTCATTACTAAGGGAGTTTTGCCCCCTCCCTCTATTTTGTCACTTGTTTCTAAATTTATTTATAGGGTGAGAGTTTTAAAATCATCTTATCTACTAAATTGCCAGAAATTAAAGTTAACTCTTTTAAGAAGTTTGTTTTGGGCTGGGTGCAGTGGCTCACGCCTTTACGTAATTTCAGCACTTTGGGAGGTTGAGGTGGGTGGATCACCAGAGGTCAGGAGTTGGAGACCAGCCTGGCCACCATGGTGAAACCCTGTCTCTACCAAAAATACAAAAATCAACTGGGTGTAGTGATGGGTGCCTGTAATGCCAGCTACTCAGTAGGCTGAGGTGGGAGAATCGCTTGAACTCGGAGGCAGAGGTTACAGTGAGCCAAGACTGCACCACTGCACAACAGCCTGAGTGAAAGGGCAAGACTCCATCCTCCCACCAAAAAAGAAAAGTTTGTTTTAAAGTATGGAAAGATGTTTCTATGTTCAGGGTAGAATCGAGACCAGAATTTCTGATAGAAAATAAGGTACTTTATTCCCGATCAAGTGACTCTGCCTCCAGACAAACTGTCATGAAAACTTACTTTTTTAATGGCCACAGAGACAACAGGTGACACTTGTTACACTAAATAAGCCAGAGACCCTGAAGGGCTGAGAACGAGACCCTGCTGCACTTTGGCCTCACTGCGCGACCCTGGGCCCATCCTCAGGCCCCTGGGCCTCAGTGCCCTTTTCATTCAGCACACTGAAGGAGCCAGGTTAGGTTTCCATGGGGGTTCTGCTTTTTTTCTTTTTCTTTTTCTTTTTTTTTTTTTGAGACGGAGTCTGGCACTGTCACCCAGGCTGGAGTGCAGTGGTGCCATCTTGGCTCACTGCAACCTCTGCCTCCCAAGTTCAAGCAATTCTCCTGCCTCAGCCTCCCTAGTAGCTGGGACTTCAGGCACCTGCCACCACGCCCAGTAATTTTAGTAGAGACAGGTTTTGCCATGTTGGCCAGGCTGATCTCAAACTCCTGACCTTAGGTGATCCACCTGCCTTAGCCTCCCAAAGTGCCGTGATTATAGGCATGAGCCACCGTGCCCTGCCAGTTTCTGCTTTAAGTGTTAGTGGCTCTGACCTCTCTCCTACTGCATGTCTGTGCCAGCTGCCTGGCCAAGCTCCTTGCGACCTCCCTCTCCTCCTGGGATGTGCCTCCCACACTCAGCCCCTCCCTTCCCTTGACCCTCACCTCCATCCTCACAGCATCTCTCTGTGAAGGACATTGTCCTTCTCACAGGCCATGGGTGGGAGAGGAGGGGTTTGAGGGTGTGAAGGGAATGATAAGCAAGGAATGCTCTGGGAGGTTCCACTTCAGAGGGTCCAAGGTGGAAGTTGTGGAACTCTGGGGTTTAGACCCAAAGACTGGGTTTGGACTGCTGGACTGCATTGCTCTTCATGGCTAATGGGGGAGACATGTGTGTGATGGGGTGAGGTCTTCCTTTGCAAGTGGACTCAGTGGCTGGGATGGAGAGAAGCAGAGGGCTCTGGGAGAGGTGTGGGAGGTACGTGGTTCCCACCTAGTACTCATATAACCCCCAAACTGCCTTAAGATTACTAGTATGTCCTGCTCCTTCACAACCCCCTGAGAACTGGAAGCTTACAGCTTGGACGACTGGAGCCAAGAGGTCACTGGATTTGTCTCATGTGAGGGGAAGGCACAGTTGTGGCCATGAGCCTTGGGAGGCACCAGAAATCGGCCCTACCATTGCTCCAGCGTGCGAGGGGCTGCCCAGACTGAATGTTTCCTTTAAAAGAGGCTGAGTCAGGAAGGGAATAGAATAGTGACCTGCATTATATTGTGTATGCATTTTTTTAAATGTTTCATTGTGCTAGAGAAGACCACAAGTTTTACTATCTTAGCCCTTTTAGGTATCCAGGTTGGTAGTGTTAAGTCTGTTCACATTGCTGTGCAGCAGATCTCCAGAACTTTTTCATCTTGCAAAACTGAAACTCTGTACCTCTCAAGTCACAACTCCCTATTTCTTTCTCCCAGCAGCCCCTGGTAACTACCATTCTACTCTCTGTTTCTATTAGTTTATCACCTAAAAATTTTTTTTTTGTTAAAATTGTTTTTAGTAGAGATGAAGTCTTGCTAACTCCTGGACTCAAATGACCCTCCTGCCTCAGCCTCCCTAAGTGCTAGGATTACAGGTGTGAGTCACTCTACCCTGCCGACTACTTTAATTTATTTTATTTTATTTTTTTGAGACGGAGTCTTGCACTGTTGCCTGGGCTGGAGTGCAATGGTGTAATCTCGGCTTACTGCAACCTCCACCTCCTGGGTTTAAGTGATTCTCCTGCCTCAGCCTCCCAAGCAGTTGGGATTACAGGCACCCACCACCATGCCCGGCTAATTTTTTCTATTTTTTAGTAAAGACAGGGTTTCGCTATGTTGGCCACGCTGTTCTCAAACTCCTGACCGCGTGATCCACCCGCCTCAGCTTCCCAAAGTGCTGGGATTACAGGCATGAGCCACCACCCCTGGCCTACTTTATTTTTATTTTATTGTATTTATTTTGAGACAGAGCGTTGTTCTGTCACCCAGGCTGGAGTGCAGTGGTGCAATCATGGCTCACTGCAGCCTTGACCTCCCAGGCTCAAGTGATTCTCCTGCCTCAGCCTCCGGAGTAGCTGGGACTACAGGTGTGAGCCAGCACACCTGGCTAATTTTTTTTTTTTTTTTTTTTTTG